CGATCGCTAACTTCTTCCTGTAGATACAACTGAGTTTACCGACTGGGGAACACTGCTTTGTGGACGACCGGGTGTGAAGCTGGGCGCGAGGAATTGGACGCCGCTTGTCCTCCTAAATTACTACTACCTATGGAGGTATATATGCTGCTATCTAAAAGAACACGTTTTCTCTTTGAGATCATTGCTTCCTTGCAGTAGATAAATGAGTAGTGCAGGGGGTAAGGCTGTTGTGTAACAACTGACTGTAATGAGGCTGGAAAAAAACGAGAGTTATCGGAGTGATCCTGGCTGACACCGGGTTATGAAGAAACAGATGCCGCAATACTGCTATTATATTAGCAATAGTGCTCAAGGATTCGCTGCATATACGGAATTTCAAAGATGTAAAAGTATGGTTTGCACCTGCGCTTTCAAACGATAATGTAATCCGATTTCTGCAACCCTTATAGACTACCGCTGCTTGTCAATATTTCATATGAAAGTACTCTTGTTGCCCGTCTTTTCCCTGGGCAAAAAGTCCATTTTAAAACCCCAACATGAGTGACCATCGACTTAAAGCAGTTTTGTTGTTCGCTGACGGAACACCAAGATAAGTAACGTCCGTCACCGTAAACCGAGATCTACCGTCTAGCGAGACAGAGGACGACACAAGCAGTCCCTATAGAGTACTTCTTGTCTAGCTCTAAGCCTGAACTTACCCTAACGACTAAAGATATCGCGATATAACACAACATCTATTACTACAAACCGAGATCCACTATATAGCGAGACAGGGGATAATATAGGTAGTCCCTATAGAGTACTCCTTACCTAGCTCCTATCCCGGGTCACTGGTATAGGTAAAAAGGTCTTAGAGTATATAGAGGCTCTACATATCCTCACTAGGGCTCTTCTTCTCCTCCGTACAGAGCCTCTACACACCTTAACTAGGTCTCTTCTTCTACTCCGTACACGTATCACCATCTCGCTTCACGGTTAATCTCGCTTCACAGTGACGGACGTTATGCGTGATATGTTGGAGTTTACTAAGCCCAACAGGCCCACTTTTACGCGAAGATCTGCAAGAGCTTGACGCATCGGGAGCAGTGACGGAAAGACGGGCATTTGCTCCGTTGCCGCTCTATGCGACTGAGCAAAAATATGGTCAATTATTGGTTGAAATGGCAAGCTGATCGTGCTGCCTGAAATTGCGCCAAATAAAAGATCAACGTGTCAGGCCGAAGCACTGTTGGTTCAAGTTCAGCTGATTGGTGCAAAGATTGTTGCGTCGCATATCGAATCTTTTTTCGATACCAACTGCAGCGTAGTACGCTCATCTCTACCCGAATAAATTTTTGCGGCTGATTGCTGTGCAAACTTCTTGTTGGTCGTCCTCCAGAATGTGTTAGTCGACGTAATGGTGCATAATACTGCTTGTCCACAGCGTAGCCGGATAGCTTTGTAGTGGGTAATAAAGTCGGTTACAAGACAATGTCAAAGCCCGTGTTTTATTGTATCTGTCTTAATAGAGCCATTTGGATACAGATGCCACCAGAGTAGCTTTCCAAGCTGGGAGCCTGGGAAGCCGCAAAGTCGAGCTTGATGTAAAGGCCTAAGACGAGTGGGGGCTTCTTGCTGCATATGCGTATATCACACCAATTCAGCTTAATTTGGCAACTTCTTCGCCCCATCTAAGGACATCCCCACCTGACATCATCCGTGGCTATGAACTGCCATGCTAGTGGTTGCCACAAGGAAGATTATATCATCTCAGCCTTGCGCGTTCAAGTGGCGCTGAGGCGAAAAGTTGTTTTACTGTGATCAACACTTCATTCTCATATTCCTTGAGTACAATGGACGGACAAAACGCGGATTATAGTACACTTGAAGTCGACAGGAGAGCCAATGCGCCTGAAGTAAGGCCGGACGACAACCCACCCGAGGTCAAGGCAAGCGATGATCCAGAAACAGCACACTACCCTGCTACACCAGAGAAACCTGGAGGACTGGAGCCACATACGACCTCTCAACGAGGCCAGGAGGTCTACCTTTTCATCCGAAAAAAGACCCTACAACGGATTCTACTCCTCCTGATCCTTCTCGTGATCATCGGTATCGGTGTCGGAGTTGGTGTCGGCGTCGGAGTAACCAAGAATAAGGGGTCGGGAGGTTCTAAAGAGCCAATATACATCTCATCAAAACGATATGGCATCGTCGGAAATTCAAGCCTTGCTGCTGCGAACTACACCGATACTCAGGGAAATGAGCATTCACAGGTCTTCTACCAAGACAAATCGCGGCAAATCTGGATGGGACACAGTACATCAGATCAAGAGTGGGAATTTTCACATGTTGCGCCGAAAGGAGACAAAAATTCAACTAGTCCTGCGCTTGGAACACCGATCGCCGCATACAACTGGTATAGGGACGACAACAACACCATCCCTCGAAGCGACTTTCGATGCCTGTTTGTAGAAAACAGCAACACCGTCCACGCGCTATGGGCTTATGATCGAAACACTCAAAATTGGACATCAATTGATCAGATTATCTGTCCTGCAGTCGTTGCTTCTCCAGGCTCAAAAGCACTCGCTACATACACTCGCCAATGCGACGGAAAGGCGTGCGCCGACTTCGATTTTATCGCCTACTCAGCCACCGGAAATTATCCAACATTCGAGCTATGGTTGCCATATAAACATAAGGATGACAGCGGCCCCTTTCTTCCTGAATTTGTGGACGTGGACGCGGCCACAGACATAGCTGTAGTACCAGTACCAAGGGTGCCTTCGAAAGATTTATATCCACAAGTCGGAATGTATTTACGTAACAGTACCGGCAGTCTAGTGGAGCTATATGTCGCAGAAGGCAACCATTGGACCTGGACCGACATGCGCGGTAGGCCTTACTGAAGTTTTCAGTTAACTTTGAGCCATGACTAACTTGTGGATTACTTTACAGACCATCTACCAATAGACGAAGGCGTCCAATTTGCAGCAATGTCGCGATTAAATAACAAGTCGCAGGTTGAGATCCAGGTCCTAGCTTCTAAATTAGCTGGAGGAGTGCGTATGCCGTATCTCAACGGTACAGGCTGGAGTTTTGTTGATTTTGTCGACGGCATGGAGGACGTTAAAAGTCTTTCGCCGATTGCCGCCACACAAACAGGTCATGTATTTGCGATCGTAAAGAACGGGTCTCAACTTGTAGAATGGATACGGGAGGATTCGGGGGATATTTCGCCTCCTAAGTTCTCACGTATAGGTGTCGTCAACACCACTGAAGTTTAAGAAAAGATACGTCATATGAAAAGGCATGATAGGCAAGGCCGTAAGAGTTCACCGTCAAGAACTAAAACTTCAGCATAAAAGTTGGCAAATATAAATTTGCAAACAATCGTGTCAGGTTTCACTTTCAAAATACTATGAGGTCAATTCATCCTAAAGACGAAGTCAACGTTATATTGGATATAGTAGCCGCCCTGAATGCCTTCGAATCGCCAATTTAACAGAAGGCGTTGCCTTTTGTGCCCTACCTCGCTGTCGTGCTGATGACATAAAAAATGTGCCTTTACATTCAAATAAAGTGGCTGACACTCATAAGTATAAAGGGTTGGGGTAAGGATATTGAAGCGTCCCTGCTCTTTATAGTAGTTTAAGCGGCGTGACGACGTTTTTTCGTCTTTGAACTATTAATAATGGCTAGCTTATTAAAAGCTTTAACATGGTGCTAGTATATATTCAAACGTAAAGGCGAGGATGAGATAGAGACAAAGTGACACGTTACAATATTTGCCTTCCATCACATACTAGCTCTGGTGTGGAAACTGACAAGACACCAAATTTGAAGATACCTCGTCGACAAATATGCAAATGCGATGACGACTGATATCTAGGATTCAGAATACAACGTCTACTGAGTATAGCTTACCTGGGCCAAGACACGGGATGAAGGATTGTATTCCTTCCGCGGCTCTTTGTACAGTGCTTACCAATGTGTCGCATACATGCTTATATGATCACCGTGTGTCATCTACTCATCTTCCATCTCAAGCAGAAGGATTTACCGGTGCAATCTCATTGAACCACACATAGAGCACCTTACTTGCTGCAGTTGTTCCAGCTTGCAGGGTGCCTAGCTTCGGCAGCTCACGCGTTGGTTGTGGAATTTTGGCCCCTCGAAGTGATCAAATATTAGTAAACAATGCATAATAATCTAAGCCTCAAGGCCAATCTTCGGTAGTGAGAGAATGGACAGTCAATACGCTTGAGCGCATAGTGCACTGTTGGTATTTAATCGTATGTACCACTGATGTCACTTACGAAACATCTACAGGCTGGAAAACCGAGGATTTAAAATCTTTCACCTTTTTCTCCTTCCGGATACTTTCTTTTCTTGTATAGGCTACTCTAACAAGTGTCGCAAGGCGCGATTGCCGCCTGCAAATATTGTGCCTTGGCTAAGGGCTCACGAGGCCAAATTTGGGATGTGGGAGAGCAAGAAACGGATGAGATCGCCGCCTTGCATATGCAAATTGAATGTCGGTCAACCCATTTGGTCTAGTTAGCGCATGATTATCGTTGCCCCGCCCGATATCGATGGTTGCGTCCTGGTTCCCTCTATATGACCTCAGAGCTGAACAAATTTCAGCCTTGCGTCTTTGGACTTGCGCAAGGGCTGGTTTTTGCCTATAATACCCGTAATCGCCCAATTTCTCTTCCACTATCGCACGCATGATGAGCAGAGAAAATACGGATTACAGTACGCTTGAAGTAAATCGGGAGGCTGATTTACCTCAAGTAAGGCCGAGTGATGGTCCGGAGCTGGTCCAAAATCCGTCAAACAAAGAAGAATATCCCAAATTTGATTCAGCCAGCCGACCTACGCATGGATCGGGCAGTCATGGGGCTAGGAAAAAAACTCTTCGGTTGGCCCTGATTTTGGTCCTAATCATTCTTACAAGTATCGGCGTTGGACTCGGCGTCGGACTTGGGGTGACAAGAGGCAAATCTTCTACCCGGAGTGATAGACCAAAAAATCCTTCGGTCGAACGGCAAGGAATCGCTCCTAATTCTGGCCTGTCAGCAACGAACTATACCGACCAGCGTGGAGTTGAGCATTCTCAAGTCTATTATCAAGATAAGACCCTCCAGTTATGGATGGCAGACAAGAGCATGTCAAGCCAAATTTGGAATTTCTCTCATGTTGTGGTCCGAGAACATTCCAACAAAACGTTTCCGAAGAATGGAACACCTATCTCTGCATACAACTGGCTGGATCCGCTCGCTGGAGGTAACCAGAGTACCTTCCGGTGTTTGTTTGTGGACAATAGCAGTAATGTCCGCGCACTATCGGCCGACTGGACAAATGACAATTGGAAATCAGTGGACGGTTTAGTTTCTGGCCTTCCTTCACCTTACGACCCAAAATTGCTCGCTCAATACACAAAGCAATGTGGCAACGATACTTGTATTGATTTCGACATTATTGCCTACTGGAACACGGAAGGAGCTTTGGCTTTGAAATTCCCGCATGGGCTTTCGGAGGCCAGCGGTCCATTTATCCCTCCAGGCGTCCAGCCAGACTCAGAGACAGCCGTCGCTTTGGCACCTATTCCGGTAGTCGCGCCCAAAAACTATTCAAAACCCAAAATAGCTATGTATCTTCGAAACAGTGCTGGCAACCTGACAGAGCTGTATGACGAATACGGTCATAATTGGTACAAGACCAAGCTACAAAGTAAGTTTATACAAGTAAGAATGAAATTGTATCCAGTGGCTCTAACAATGGTAGCAAATATAACAATTGATAGAGGCTCCCAACTTGCAGCGTTATCTCGGCTTGATGATGGCTTGCTTAAAATACAGGTCTTGGCTTCCAAGTCGGATGGGGGCGTAAAAATGGCTTTTCTTAACGGTACTCTTTGGAACGAACTTGATTCTGTCAACGGAATGGAGAGCGTACTGCCACTTTCTCCAATCGCTGCTACCCAGGCTGGCTATGTTTATACGCTCGGAGAGGGACACCAAGTTGTAGAGTGGGTTCGGAACAACAGCTCTCCCCCTACATTCTTGCGTCTAGGGACTATCAACACAACCAATGTTTGAAAGGAAGACTATTTTTAGATTAGTTTCAAACGTATATAATTTTCGGATCCCGGCCTTGATATCCTAGAAATTTAATTAGTTTCAGACTCAACAAATGAGAATGGTTTTGCGCTTAGGCGGAGGATGGCAAGGTATAGAAAATCACTTTACCAATTTTTGGTTCGCAACTTTTCGTGGTTAAACTGAGTTCACTAACACTTTCATTATTCAAAAAGGGCCAAACTGTGTATGTTGGTGGACTATTGATGGACTAAAGACACATAGGTTTTGTAGCCTTACATTAACGATTGATAAGATTTGCTCAGTGGCCCTGGTTGGCTTAAAACTGTCGTGGTTTCTTCCCAAGGACGTTTGTCATACTTGGCCCGTCTCGGATCGCCCTAGTACTGCGGTGGGCCGGTGCGGTCACAACATGCGGCTGACCCGGAGCTTTCTATCTAACAGCTTGTTTAAACAATTTTGAGGGCTAAGCGTTAGTCTAATGCCAGAATTCCTATATAGGCAAGGTAAAGGTTGGTTAAGACAAAAGTAAAGTCATATGCGCGTATGGTATCCGGGGACATGTGAGACTATGATTCCATCTCGCATACCTTCCGTCCAAGCCCGAACCGAGTAATATGCTTACGATTTGTGCGCAAGCTGGCTCTTGGGTAGCGCCTTCAGGTCGACTATAAATAAGATCGTAGACACTAGTAGTTTGTTGACTGACAGGCAGCACCCAATCATCTTCGTTGTGTATATTTCATGTCTAATAAGTATATGCATGCGTTCGTCTCGTGTGTAACGCAAGAGTTCTAGGCGAAAAATCAGAAACATTAATGCCTCAAGGATTGCATCGGTACCAAGTGCACTTACAGGACCGCGCGTACAAACTGTGCTGTTGTTGGGGCGTGAGGGCCCGGCGACTTTGGTACGTTTCTCGGGTGCGAGAAGTTCGGCCGAAGGCATAGCATAGCCCTCTCTGACAGACGTCATATGTTCCAGCGATGTACATATTAGTCTTATGAAACTAAATTTATTCTTAGTAAATCGTAGCATACCGCGAAAGGTTTTGTATGTTGAATCTCTTTAGTGCACTTGCTGCATTATTCAGTGTATATTTTCTTTCAGACGAACAATTTGTGGAGCGTGAATGGTGTAAGAGCTTTCCGCATCCGGACTGTTCAACGATGTATTCTAAAGCTAACCTCCTTCGGAAGCACGGCATGTTTGGAATGCATTCGGAGGATTTGCAAGACGCTTTCGGAAACAATTCTGAAGATCGTAAGGACGCGGCATACTTCTTGGCCCTTGGCGCTCAACAAGGACCCAACGCTTTTCTTTATATTCTCAACTACTTGCAGCATCTCATCGCATTCCTCTTTCTTCACTTCATGTCACACTGAAAGGTAGTTATTTGCCCTTTTCCAATCAGCCGAACAGCATCATGGGAACAGCCACAGAGAAAGAAGAGATCCGCCGCTTGTTCGACCCTTCAGAAGACATATGCACGCAAAACATCCCGCGCTCCGAACTCATCATTTACAACCCCAAGAAACAAACCTCCGAGCTCCAAATGACGTGCGAAACGAGACCATTTCCCTTCAGGGACACCGGAACCCTTGTCATCCACTTACACGGCGCATGTCACGGCAACGGCAAACTCAACTCCAATGCCAAGGCTTCATACGGCATCTACCTTGGACCTGGCTCTCGTTACAACACCGAGGAACTTCTCCCTTCTTCTCTTCCGCAAACCAGCACGTGTGCAGATGTTTATGGGCTAGCGCATGCTCTGGAAATAGTGAAAAATATCGCGAAGGACGACGCCAGACTCGAGCGGGTCAAGATCGCCACTGATTCGCGCTTCTTAATTCAGGCGATGACGGAGTGGATGAATATGTGGATCGAGCATAAGGGATTTACGCCTCAGGGCAGGCCCGTTGCGCATTTTGAGACACTCAGAAATCTTCATGATAGCCTCAACTATTTGGAATCCGCCGAAGGAGGCTACGAAGTGCAGTTCTGGCATGTTCCAAGGGAGATGAACAAAGAAGCTTACGCGTTAGCGTATGCGGCACTGGATGATGTTTGAAGGAGGCTGTGAGGAAAATGTAGTTATTGTAGTTAGGGGATTGCTACAAACTATGTGAAATTTTCTAAAGTTAAACATCAACGAAGTCTAGTGCATACTTTTGGTACCCAGTCAATCTTTTATTCTCCTTGAATATAGACCCTTAACCAGAGCTTCTCACTCTGTTTTATCCCGCGGCTTCTCCGAGCCGGCCGTGACCTCTACAGGGGGTGATTGAAACATAGATAATTCATAGACCATCTCGAGCATATGTAAAGTCCAGATTCTCGATATACCGATCGACGACCGCGTCGCGAAACCTATCACCAAGACCCTCGGCAATGCTGTGCGCTTTCAACGTGTATTCTCTCAGAGTCAGGCAGTCGGGGTCGGGAAAGCGCCCCATCTTCAGCGTCCGGTATTCTCGCGCCGCGGTGTTGAACTTGTGCCGAGACGTCTTGGTGTACCGCTTCCGTAGGGCTTCGCATGCTTGCGAGAAGTTGTTTTGTTGGGTTTCGCAGAGGCCCATAAAGTATTTTAGCGCTGGCCCGGTGAGGTGCGTCTCTAGGGTCAACACTTTTATGAATTCTTTGTTATCGTCGTCGCGGATGTCGGAGGATGCATCGTCGGCGATTATCGTGCAGGCTTTGATCCATTGCTCGATGTTCTCGCCTAGGGAGTCGCCGGTGAATTTGCGCATTTTGGGGACAGGTGTTGAGGAGGGTGGCTTTGATGGCATGGGAGGCTGCAGGTTTTCTGTGGTTCGGCTTTTTAAAGGCGATGGGTCCGGTGGGCAAATCTTGGATGGTACGTGTACTGAGTTCAAGGGTTGATGGTGGTGAGTGCCTGTCGCTTGCCGCTCAGCCAGCCTGGCAGCAAAGCAACATCAAGCATCCTTTTGATTTCCTCTGCCAACATCCACGCAACCAAACTTAGCAGTAGCGCTGTACTGGTGGGAAATAGCAGTACTTTCTTGCCTTCTTTAGGGTTATTTTCTTTTACGCCGTTTTGTTTCTAACGAAATCACAAACATCCCGTGTTACACAAACTTTTTTAAATTTGCAAACTCTTCTCCTCTTTAACATGTGGAGTTTAAAAGCCAGCTCTACAACAAACCATTAACCAAACAAAAAGAACGGTCATTCGAGAAGATTCTAGATTCTTCCACAGTGCTTAACAAACAACCCTTGCAACGTCATTTAAAGACGGCACTGCATCCCTTTCACACAGCTAGGTAGTCTTCCTAAACCCTTACGTCACCAACTCTCAGCCACGGGGAAGGCCCGGCGGAGGTGCCTCCATTCACCGACCAGACGCAGCAGGAATCAGCACCGAAGCAATTTACGCACCGAAAATCACGCCGCCCCTCAGCCACGGCCCTATGCCCAGTCACCGCCAACCTGCTCCACGCCCACTCACCGAGGCCTCGCCACCCAACGCGCACGCACTCTGTACCGCGACATACACGCCGTAGAGAAACTAGCACACAGTAACCTTCACACCTACATCAATGACATCGTGCAGGAGCATTGCGTACATGATCACAAGAATCCATCGCGTGGCGCAGCCAGCTGTTTTGTGGTCGGAGCCGCGGTGTAGGATGTGACGCAGCGGACCTACCCGGCGCCACTCATGACGGAACGCCACCAACGCAGCATGCTCACGCGTGCACGACCTGGCATCATTGGAACAATTTCAACACATCGTAAAATTCATGTGCAAACTTAAGGTCTACACCAAAATGACGTCACCTGGGTTGAGCAAAGAAGGCGAAAGCCGTGTTAAATCAACCCGTGGATGTTTCCTTTCAGCACGACATCACCACGCACGAGAAAGCCAACATCATATACAGCAATTTAGATTAAGCACGCTCTACCACACTATCGCTCCAGAAACCGAAACTTTTATGAAAGTCATGTGTGTTTTCCCGGGGGTATAAGAAGAAAAAAGGATCAACGCAGGACCAAGCAGACCAACCAGCAGAGCCTGAGAGTAAAGGAAAAGCAGAAAGTGTGTAGTGGGGGGAGGGGGGGGGGGGGGGGGGGGAGGGGGGGGGGGGGGGGGACAGTGAGGGGCCGGGGCTGATAAATTCGTAACGAAAAAAACAAATTTAGTTGGCAGGAAAGTGATTGTCCGATCCATCCTTGCACAGACTGGATGTGTGAATACACACCAGGGGGGGGGGGGGGGGGGGGGGGGGGGGGGGGGATTGAGTAGAGTTTTCTTCCTTGGAAACCCAAGCACCGACGTCAGGGCCCGCACACCGCCGTCGGACTAGGCGTCACAGCCTTTGTAACGCTTCCCGGCACCGTAACCACCAAGAGAATAACGGATGCTGTGGCGATCCGAGCTCGAAGAAGGTCCATCTTCGAATTCCTTCGTAGTGCGCTTGCGCTTCGACTTCTGCGCCGCCTGTGTGTTCTGAATGTGCGTGGTGTCATTGCTCTTGGATCCGAAGGCTGAGTGAAACGTGCCAAGGTCGGACTGGTTCATACTCGACTTCTGCGGAGCCTGTGTGCCGGAGCTGAACAGGCTCGTATTCAACTTCGGCGAAGACTGGGTGGGAGAGCCGAACAAGTTCAAATTAGGCTTCTGCGGAGCCTGTGTACCAGAGCTGAACAAACTCATATTCGACTTCTGCGAAGCCTGCGTGTCTTGACTCTCCATACCGACGTTATCCGAGCGGAAGACCGGGTGGAAAGGTCCGAAGTCGAACTTGCTCATGTGATCCTTAGAGTCGAAATGCTGATGGCCGTGGCTACGACAGTCAATCTGCATACCAGGCAAGCTGTCGTTCCTGGCGCCGGGACGAGAGAAGCTTGGACCAGAGGCTTTCCTACTACGCTCCTGCGGTGCAGAGACAGGGTGTGGGGTTGTCTTCGGAAGTGCGGAGGAGTCTTTTCCACTTGACCGAGAGGCCCTCGGGCCTTGTCCGGAAGCCGATTCTTCGCGATGGTCATCTTCGAACGTTACGAACTTGATTTTGCGGCAAAAGCCCGTGTTCGTACTCTTCTGCGCCTGTGCGTCTCCTTCACTGTGACGGCTATGCTTGTCAGGTCTTGAGGATGTGGCAGTAGGTTCGCTCTTTAAAGCACCTGAATGATGACGAGGCTTGGTGTCTTGTCCGGCTTGATGACGAGTGGCTCTTAGTTTGTCGTTGTTTGCAGAGCTGGGCTGGGATTGCGATGGCTGAGAGGCGCAGGGTTGCTTCGCCCCGTGGGTCTTTGAAGCATCGTTGACCAGCTTCAGGATTTTCATACGCATTATGTCAAATTCGACTCTGAAGGAGTTACGCTGAAACAGCACTGTCCCCGAAACTTGGTTCAGAAGGTCCAGCATGCTTTTGCATTGCCTCTCAAATGAGCTTTTTTGACGTGCGATGAGTGTAAGGAGCTCCGAAGCCTCGAGAGGGAGGTTGTCGGGAAGAGGGGGATCACTGTTAACAGTAGGGTGGGGGTCGGGGAAATGAGCCATAAGTTGGGAGTCGGTGAGGTCTTTGAACGAGTCGTTGGAGTCCTGACTCTGCTGACCGGGATTCTCCTGACTCCGCGGTAAATGAAGGTCCTGGGTCGGCAGGCGGGCGGCCAGCTTGTTGAGAGCGCGGATGGCAGGTTCGATGGCGCGCATTTCTTGAGCGAAGTTCAAGACGGGGAGGTCATCGGGAAGCATGGAGGGAGGAAGGGTCTTAGCAGGCATGGTGGAGTCGAGCGATGAAGGCATGCCGAGATGACAAGAGACAGATGAGGTGGAAGTTGACGAGGGTGGAGGGGGGAGGGTTTATATATGGAAAGAGAAGAAGGCGGACAGCAGGCGAGAGAATAAGCGAAGGGTAAGCGAAGAGTTTGTAAGCAGGGTGTGAGTGCAGTCACCCAGTGTTAACGGAAGGTAAGCGTTGTATGTGCAGAGGGTGAGTGGGTGGAAAAGCAGGGGTATGTTAAAACATACCCTTCCCACTATCTTAACACGGCTGACCTCCTCGCTTAGTATCTTTATAAACCCACCCCAATCTCGCCCTCAGAGCCTCCATCCTTCCTTCAACTTTCTTCTCTACACCCATTTCGGCATATCGTTCACCATGCAAGAAGCTTCCTTCGCCACTACTATTCCAAACACTCCGCCGGATAGGTGGGTCTCTACTATCCCAAATACTCCAACAGGCTCTAATACAACAACCCTTGCCAATCCGAACCCTATCATCACAGATTCCTTTAACTCTACCTTCGTGGACCTCTCTACCTGGAACTATGATCCTGCGGGTCATCGCGGTGATTTCGCCCGCATCTACCCAATGTCTCCAACAGCTCGTCGCATCTTCAATCAACTCGTCGATGAGCTCATCGCAAAGCCAAGGTCGCTTCAACACGTGCGCAAATTCGTCCATTACGACATAGTCGACCCCAACGACCATGACAATTTAGGTGGCGGCAGATACTGCGGTTTCTTTCGCCTGAACTTCAACATTCCCCCAGCCCACGAGCATATTGGTTGGGTCCTTGGAACTAGCCGACGCGGACTTGCTACGGGTGGAGCAGATGTACTACTGGCTCCTGGACCTTCTACCTTCAACGTCGAGAGCAGGCACGTTTATCTCCAACACCATCGTCAAACGGGTGTGCTAATGATCATAGCTGGGAAACACCCCGTCTTGATCAATGGCATAGAGAAACTTCAGAATGCATGCCACGCCGTCTGTGAGCCCACCGGGATCACCATCGGTGACCTTGCATTCAAAATATCTTTCACCGACCTCGATGAGGAAAGCTATCGGTATCAACTGAGGCGCGTCATGGACTTGAACGCTCCTAGCTTTCCCCGGATCCCACATGAAATCACGCCTGCACCTACTCCAGACATGAACCACTACAGGGTTAACACTAAATACTACTCCTATCCCGTGCACGCTGGAGGGACATATTCAACTGTAGCATACGCATTCGTCAAGGCTACTGGTGAAGCGGTAGCTTTGAAGATCATGAAGAGGACCCGCCACAACACCTTTGATATCGACAAGGAACTTCGAATTATGCGCATGCTCAACCACGTAAGTCCCCAAAGCTATTAACATTTGAATATACTGACTACTTCTGAACAGACTAACGTTTCGAAGCTCAAGGACTTCATCGGCGGAGAGTATCCGGTTGGCTCTGGTCAAGGTGAGTGCCAACAAGTCACTGCTGTCCTCTCACCTTTCGCACCGGCGCTATCAACGCGTCTTCACGGAGATCAACGCCCAGAGAACGAATGGATTGCCTACGTTATGAAACAATGCTACGGAGGCCTCGCCTACATTCATGCTAAAGGCATACTGCACCACGACATCAAGCTCGACAACATCGGTGTCGTCGATTCCATTCCGCCGCGGGCAGTCATCATGGACTTCGGCCACGCTGCTGTCGAGGAGTATAGTACGAACCACATGCTTGGAACGGTCCGTTACCTGGCTCCTGAGATTATAGCGTTGAAGCAGGAGTCCAAGGCCGCCGAGAGAGCTTACCCCGCTACGCCATATTTCGGAGCGCCTGTTGACGTCTGGGCACTTTCCCTCTGCGTCTACGAGCTGTACATCGGCAAGATAATCAAATGGGCCTCGGTTAACCGCGCAGACTACGAAGCGCTGGACGAATATTTCAAAACGGAGCTCAGGAATAGAGATGACGACCGGCTTGCGTCAAAGCTCGTGACTTTGGCTTGTAGGGGACTGCAGTGGAAGCCTTCGGAAAGGTGCTCTGCAGCGGATGGACATCTTTACTTGTCATAAAGGCATGGGTTTTCTTAAAGATTTCGAGTCACATGAGATCCTGTGCGCTCTCTTTTCTTTGGATGCTGTGAAGCTGGGCGCGAGGAATTGGACGCCGCTTGTCCTTCTAAATTACTACTACCTATGGAGGTATATAAGATACTATCTAGAAGGACACGTTTTCTCTTTGAGATCATTGCTTCCTTGCAGTGGATAAATGAGTAGTGCAGGGGGTAAGGCTGTTGTGTAACCACTAGATAATGAGGCTGAAAAAACGAGAGTTATCGGAGTGATCCTGGCTGACAGATGCTTTTGACTTTGTCAGTATTAAAACCGCCAGTATGAATAGCAAGCAAAGTAACAATAAACATAATATACCCTTCCTTCCAAACTACAACTCTCAGTCCTGTGATTGAAATACTGTCTCCAAACGAAACTCTTAAAAGGCTTTTACACAAAAG